TTATATTAGTAAGAAAAATTAATTGTAATCCTAACTTTCGTTTGAATTTGTAAGACTGAGGATTATGAAGTGTAATTAATCTGTGACAGATTAGTTTTTGTTACCTGATACAGTAGTAAAATAGAAAATGGCTGACGCTTAGATGCATAGCCAGAAAAGAAATCATAGGTTAAGGGGTTAATCAAATGTAAAAGTTCGTTGGAAATATTGATCTAAATTATAAAATTCGACACGAACTTATGGGACGATCTAACATTACATAATTATAATTAAAGTGAATATACAAACATATGTTCAGGATGATTTCGAATTTGATCAAGTAAGTCTGCCGGTCTTATTTGATCGGTACAGATGCGATGTACTGCAGTGAATAAAGGAAATTTCTCCGTTAGATTGCGATTTTTCAACATTCCATTGACTTCATCAGCCGTGGCTGGTCCTTGCAATTTTTGACCACCTAAAAGTTCTTCTTCGAGTTGTCTAATAGTCTGTTCGGAAAGTATAAAAAGCATTTTGTTAGCTTCAGTGTTGGAGAATGAAAATAATGTGTTGAAACGGTATAATCTTTACTTTGCCACTTTTAACGTATTGTTCGCAAACTCTGCGATTTCTTCCACCATAACAAGTAGTTATCAAATCTGCTACACCGCAACTTTCAAAGAATGTTCCAAGTTTTGAACCACTGTAGAATGTGTCTACAAATTTAACCATTTCCATTAATCCTAATCTGATAACAGCTGCTTTTGTATTGTCACCTAATCCCAAGCCATCTACAAAACCAGCAGCGCATGCCACAATATTCTAAAACATAATTAATAATTATTTATATGTCGAACGAAAAACTGTTTTAAAACTGGATTAATTGGTAATAATATTTGAGCTTACACACCTTCAATGCACCACACACCTCAACTGTTTCACAATCTTCAACAACTACTACTCTAAAATTGGGAGTTTGAATGAGGTCCCTTAACAATGGAGCTAGTCGTTTGTCTCTGCAGCCTAATCACAATAATAATAATAATACTAATAATAATAACGAACAGTTATAAGTAATCGATAATTTAGATACTAAGTTTAATAACATATTGAGGAAATAATTTTTATTGTGTTCTTAGTTTAATGTTCAGTAAGGACAAATTTTTGCAGTTAGATCTTTGTGGAGTATTAATATTAAAATTCTTCGATGCAAAAATTGAGTAGGCAATACATATTTGTCAATTTATCACAATTCCATATCTTTGAACTGAATTGAAAAAACTAAATAAAATTACT